AGACATTCAGCGGCCTGTAAAAAGCGGGTAGTGACACATTTTAAACCAACACATGTTACTGCGATGAAAAACATGCAATTTTTATTCATTGTTCATCTAACAAAGGTATGTCAAAAAGTGCATAAAAACACAACAAATTAGCATTAATTTAACAGAATCTGAAAAAAAAGTGCACAGTTGTAGCATTACATTTGTTTGCTTTAGAAGTCAAATATTCAGGTTATGTTTTTTGAACCAGGCACATCACAAAGTGCATTTACTGAATACAATAATAGCAGTCTTAATAAATGTCCTCACATACAAAAAAAACAGCTAAAGAGCTCCAATGCAACACAAAGAGGTAGTACTGTAGCAATACTATTTTTTCACTTTTCAAGTAATAACAAAAAAANACACACACACACACACACACACACACACACACACACACACACACACACACACACACACACACACACGTAGATATTTGTGTCGATGCATGTGCACACATGTCCCCTCTCATTTAAATATTGCCCCTGTCCCAACGCATTCTATTACTTGATACAGTATGATACACACCGATCAATTGAAGCCAAGGAGACACCACACACATCCACAANCGTGCGTTGCCGCTTCAACGCTTCTGCCCATTCACTTTGAATGGGGCGACGTCACGATTCGCCGAACTGCATTGTGGGAGCAAAGCGTAGCTTCTCTCGCGGTGCTCGCTGCAAAAGTAGAGCAATGTTCTACTTTTGCCGCCTCGACGGAGGCGTCAGCCAATCGAATCATATAATAATAATAATAATAATAATAATCCTTATATTTATTATAGCGCTTTATCAATGACTCAAAGCGCTTAAATGCCAGTACAAGCTCTAGCCAATCAAACCACGTGCTTGTGTGTCTGGGGCGGGAGATTCATGTGATTGGTCGAGTTTCAGCCGCCGGCAAGCGACAACGCACGCCGCCGTGTGTAGGAGCCGTGAGGGGGGAAGGGGGGTGTCCGGTGCCTTGCTCAAGGGCACCACGGCAGGGCAGGAGGTGAACTGGGACCTCTCCAAGTAGCAGCCCACACTCCATATTTTGTAGGTCTGGTCGGGGACTTCAACCGGCGACCCTACAGCTCCCAGTCCAAGCCCCTACTGACTGAGCCGCTGGCGGACATTATATAAGTCATCTAACCTAATACATAGAGCTAAACCATTAACTCGAGACTATCATAAATGCTAACTTATTTCCTGACTTTAGGTCTCATTCCTGCTTCTTCTAAGCTTTCTACAAATGTTTTCCCCTGTTGATTGTAGGGTTACTTTTGGGGAGTTTTCCCTTGTCTGCCAAGGACAAAGTGATGTTGTATGCTGTACAGTCTGTACATCCCCTGAGACAAATTGCAATTTGTGATATTGGGCTATCTCAATAAAATGTGTCCCTTTGATTGATTGAGAATGACGAGGAAGTGAGGACAGCAGCAGAGTGAAGCATTAGCGGGAAGAGACACAAGGGAATAAAGCATAAAGTAAAATGATGAGGAAGGAAGGGACAATAGAGAGAGAAACAGCAGGAAGTAGATGGAGTAACGTGGGAGAAGAAGATGAACAGAATTGGTAGTAAGAATATGTTATCACGTTTTTATTTTGTGATCCCAAATTTCTTCCATAAAGACAAACTTGAGTATTCTGGATAATGTAATAACATGTCCAAAGCATGCTTCACTGTTGAGGTTGATCATTAGTTCATATGGAACAAATTGAACACTGAAATATCCATGATATCCTACATTTCCTGTTAAACATATAGTAACTAAAACACTGTTGAAATCCAAGTAGTAAATTCAAAACACTTAAACTTTCTGAAAGAATGTGCTCGAGTCTTAATCCAAAATCTTATCTCAAGCTCTATAAAATCTTTGGATACTGTCACAAATAGTACTAGCATCCTTAGTGGCATGCTAACAAAGAACCAATGGCCCCATAACTACTTTACCCATGAGCTTCAGTGGCTGTTATTATGGAAAACCCTAATGTGAACTGATTTTAACCACAACTGTCAGTCACCTATTGCTGCCTGTGCTAAAACCGAACAGGACTTTAAATTCCCAAACATCGGCCTCCGGAAAAAAACTCCTGCCATTTTGCTTCTTTAGGAAGTGATAAAGAGGAGCATGGCAGTGAAGGGAGAAGTAAATCACAAGAAAAGAGACTGATCAGCAGGAGTGTGAAGCAGGTTGGGAAGAAAGGACAGTGAGAAATGTGTAAAATGAGATATGGGGGAATAAAAAAGAACAGTAGTGAGTATATGAAGTCCAGAAAGCCACAATTGTAGACTTTGAAGATGATGTAAAGCTACCTGTGATTGAATCCGGGCACAATTTAAAATCACATTAGGCGACAAAGTTTGAGGGACTTGCCTGTATCTCGCTGAAGAAGCAAGCTATACACGAGCAGAATGAGGACGTGCTGTTCAAAGACATGACGTTTAAAAGTAAAGCAGATAGCGAACACATTGTATTTTCCCTGTGTTCATAAAAGCTGAGGGCGGGGCCATCACTGCAGGGCGGTAAAAGAAAGTCCTCCAAAAGTGCTGTTAAAGACATTTTTACATCCAAGTTTAGAGCTGTAGTTATTTTAAGACCCTGTCAGAGATTTTTAGGAGCAGTGAACGCCCTGGAGTGGGTACAAGAGCAGAGAAGGGCGAGGAGTAATAATGGAAGGGCAAACAAAACGAAGTGAGGTTCACCTCTCACACGGCCCGGGCGAGATTTATCCCCCGTCTGCTCTGCAGGGGGTCTGAGCAATCAGCAATTCGAATTTAATGGGTCGACTGACGGGGAGTTACAGCCTGTAACACGCACTGCTTCATTATGAGGAGACAGGAAGCCTCTGGGTTCAATTCTCCTTTAAAAAGGTCCCCTATTATAATGTTTGTTATCAATATATTATAGATCTCAGATATATACACAACATGTCTCTGAAGTGTGTGGCTCCAAACACCAAACAGATCATTGCAGCATCCCATAATCCCCTCTGTTTCAGGCCTGTTTCAAAAGTGCTGATTCTCTGTCTGTTACTTTAGATGAAAATAAGGAGCCCCTCCCCACGCCCCTTTTTAACCATATTTGGTTAAAAAGAACACAATGGTGCTCTAGGAGGAGATTCAGGTTATAGTGGGGGGGGGTTACCTTGGTTGGTGATTGGCTTAATGGTCTTACACAAGCCAAAAAATCGTTGTATTGACATCATAAAGAGGCCAAAATCTGATAAGCTCATTTTCAGGACATGGTTTTTATTAGGCTGTGAAACGATTACATTTTTTAATCAGATTAATCACAGCTTAAAAATGTATTAATCATGATTAATCACCATTCGAACTATGTCCAAAATATGCCATCTCTTTATGTATATTGTTGTGGGAATGGAAAGATAAATGAAAGAAGGCGGATATATCCATGTAACATACAGTATGTATGTTTATTATATCATTTTTCTGTGTGTCAAAATGAAAGACAGCCCACACACCTATCAATCATCAAACCGTGGGGTCTTATAGTTGTACCTATGTATATAGAGATGTACTACAGCAAAAGTATTCTCCGTCGGGACTTCCTGCAACAACACCACGCCATTATCGTGATTCTGATTGGCCAGAAGACATTATCAAAGATGTTCTATTGAGAAGACGATCACTACGTGAAAAAAGTTTTCAAAACCGTTTCTGGTCTTTGGTATTTCCAGACAAGTGGCTACTGAAATCAATCTTACTAACTGCTGTCTGTGCAATTTACTCGGCGCGAGTTGGCGGACTTTATTTTGCTTACTTTAACATCATTTTTCATGGTGGGGCTAAGCCATTTCTCGGTATGGGTGTAGCCTACCCCAGCCATACCCTGGCGCTGCCACTGGTGGGATGTATGGGGCGGGCCATTCTGCACATGCGTTAAATGCGTTAAATATTTTTACGCAATTAATTCAAAAAATGAATTACCGCAATTAACGCGATAATTTTGACAGCATTAGTTTTTATATAAATGGATCAGGACAAAAAGAGAGAGAATCTTTTTTCCTGAAACTTTCAGAATCTCTTTACGCAGAGGGGACACATGTTGATGTAGAAGAGACATGACAAAGTGGATTTTGCATAATAGGTTTAAAATACTGTATTTTAAAGACTGATGAACTTTTTTTCATTGTCAACCAAGACCAAAACCAACAATATCTTTATCTAGAGTGTGTATCCAAAGTTGAATATATCTCTTATTCCTTTGTGCCATAGACCTCCATGTTTTCTGCAGTGTTTAATACAAATTAAGAACATTTTAATAGCCAAAAAAAGGCTATTTTCTTTTTTTTCATGTCATATTTCTCAAAAGATGTAAAGAAGCTAGTGGAGACAATAAAGCCTAAAATACTTTATTGACACTACATTAATTTGTATTGCATTTTATTCTAGCATCATATAATGTTAAATTTTAGTATTATCATGTATCAATGAATGTGACTTGGAAGAAGATAAACAGAAAATAGTTAAATAGCTTAACCAGTTAAATAATAGTTTTAATTTATTTAAGTTGAATGAAGTTCTTGCTAAAATTGACACCGCTTGACCCATTATTAGTAGATAAGCATCCTTGTATGGCTAACAAAGGTATTTATAACAAAGACTAATGACACATTTCTTTGATAATACGGGTCGTCATTGGCCTAAAAAAATAAGTAAATAAGTGTATTTTACATTATTTAGTAAAAAAGTGCGTATTTTCTGATTATATAAGAAATTGTACCTATTTTCGGAAGAATTCTAAGAAGACAGTGAGAGAGTGAAGCAGAGAAGATGATAACACAGCGAGTGAATAAGTGTTTCAGATAGGAAATAGCGAAGGGGGAACTTATCTGTCCAAGTGATAGACTGGGTGAGTGTGTGTGTGTGTGTGTGTGTGTGTGTGTGTGTATTTGTGGCGAAGCAGAGTGTGGGCAAGTGTCGGAGACATGAAGCAGATGTGGTGCAGACGGACGGCGGCTCACCTGCTCCAGAGCGATCTTCTTGTTGGGCTGTCCGGTGATAAAAGGCTGCAACCTGCAACACAAACAACAACACAACATCAACACAGTCCCAAACCACACATTTAAATAACAAAGTTTCTCCAAAAGCTTATCTCAATCTCCATTCAATCTTCACATTCTTTCAAAAACATTCATGCGTCATTCATGTATAAATGCCACAAGGGATACAAATATGTTTCATGCTTTTAGCAACACTTCTTGCCATCAACCAGGTGTGGGTAACACTAGCTGATGCAGTCTCCATCAGATACTAAGTCATTCTAGTGCTAAAATTACCATATCAACACTGATAGTTTGAACATTAACATTTGCAAATGTACTAGCATGTAGGAGAGAACTATGAGTTGGCTCTACTTTTGCTTCTCTTCTTACTATTCACTGTTAATGAGTAAATCACACATGTGGTAAAACATGGGTAATTATTCTGAATCAACCATCACTGAGATGACGGAGCAGCAGCAGAGAGGCAATGTAGTGCATGTACTTAATCCCTCCAACTCTACTGTGAACAGAGGGCGGTGTGGATGTTTAAGCAGTGATAGAAACACCGCACACTAAAACTAACGGCAGGGCTTCATGACCTTGGAGTCATGTTGCTGTAGAAAATGAAGACCATTAATAACATTGAAGATCAGTCTGAAACACTAGTCAACAACTCAATACATGTGTAGGTTTTATGAACCTCTCAGAGAGTGTACACATTTCCACACATAATCTTTGACAGACGTTAGGAGAAGATTTAATGTGCAGACAGTTCAGATTTCACTTTATTGTTACATAGTGTGCTTTTAGGGGTTTTGCCTTTCCTGTAGTTTTTTATATAGGTTTGTGTGCATGACCAATCATAACAGAGGAGGTCAGCTAACTAATCAGAGCAGACTAGGCTCTGGTTTCAGACAGAGGGTGAAAAGAGGTGCTGCAGCACAAGAAATCTGACACTTAAAACAAAAGCTATTCATAATAAGTTCATTCGGTGATGAGTATACAAATCATAACAGCAAGAATCCTGCGACATTACATTAGCTTCAAATAAGTACCACACAGAGAAATGGGACATTTTATTTTTCCTAGATTTAAGGGGACAAAGTCATAACAGAATCAGTCTGCAACCGAAGATGTGTCCTCACAGTTTCACTCATTTCTCTTTATAATAACCCGATTATCAGTGTTGTCATGCTAACAGCTCTGTGAGGCTTCACTCAGGCACAGAAGTGCTTTACGCCAAAGGCTAAATTGATCACGCTCAACATGGAAATGCTATCATGCTGCAGGTGTAATGTTTACCCTGTTAGTCTAGCATTTTAGTATAACAATAGGCGCTCATTAAACATGAAACTACAGCTGAAGATGAAGGGAAGGCTTTTTGTTTTGCAGTTATTTAGCAATAAATGAACAACAAATGACTGATGGTCTAAAACACATGTCGACCTTCTGTTGGCACCACATGAAAATTCAGAATATCAAAAGTAATCAGGGTTATAGGCTGGTTATGAATGACATAGTTCCAAAAATGAACGGCAGCAGGCTTCAGGGCAAGAACATTTGAAAACATAATAATTTATAATCCTTGTACTATTAATGGTTATTGAGTACAACAGTTATTGCTGACTAGCCATCTGCATGGAAGGCTTAGCTGGATGTAATTAACATTCAGGAGGGCTCTTTGTAACCTGTATTACCGTACATTACATTCATATATATATTCATTACACTCTTTATTACAGGATTTATTGTTGACACAATAAAGGTTGAGGATTTCACTTCGATTACTACGGCTGCTCTTTGAGTCCTTTTGGCTTCAGGCGACCCGCTGGAGGATAAAATTAACACTGTGAATGTTACATTACACCCAAAACTGTGACTGACAGGCCGACAGACTGTCTGTGAGCACCATCTCTTTCTAGACAGTCGCAGAGATAATCAGCGATGAACGATCCACCGGCGGTAATTCCTAAGCAGTCGTCCCTGCGTCCCACCGGCTGGAATTAGCCTCGTTCCCGGAGGCTCCCCCCCCCCTGCCGTCCCGGCCCCGCGCTGAGCCCTCCCCCGAGGCTTAAAGTAAACGCTCAACTCGCACTGATAAGAGAGAAAACGCGAGTGAGCTTTTAATTAATCTGCTTTAACCAGGGGGGATGGGTAACAGAGAATGTGGCATCTTTCCGACCCCAACACTAGCCCCTCCTTCCTCAGAGCTCATTAGAAAAAAAATCCCAGCCAGGAGGGCGAAATCGCTCCCCGCTGAGAAAAAGCTATTCAGGGTCCACGTTCATGTGAGAGACTATCCGACTGAGCTCCCCTGGGCCCTGACCCGGACACTGGTTAGAAAGAAAGGGGGAGGAAGGAGGGAGGGAGGTGAGCAAACAGGCAGAGAGGTGGAGGAAAGGGTAAAGAAGAGAAGGAGGGCTCAGGGATTCAGGGTACAAAAGAGCAAGTGAGGGAATAATAAGATGGACTCGGGGCACAGGGAGAGAAATATGGCACCAGAGATGAGAGGTGGAGGGTTTAATCATAAATAGCAGCACAGAAGGAGGTAAGGAGGGAGGTTATGAGGAGTATATTTTGCAGGTTTCTGCACTATGATACCACTTTTAAAAGCTCTACCACTTTTAAATGTTTTATACACTGAGAAGCATTGATGACGCTTTTGGCTGACCCAGCAGTTAGCATCCCACGAAAGCAATATATTTTTTCTATTGGATTTTAAAACACTGCGCAAAATAAGATTGGAGGCAAACACACCCCTATTATACCCAAATATAAGGATAAACTCAAGGGGAATGGTAACGTTAACCTGTAAAGGAACTACAACACAGTCACATGACTTCACGTCACCACCGCTAAGATAAAGGCTAATGTCCGGAGTGATGAAGTTTAGTAGTCCCATTTAGTCACTCATTAGCGAACCGTTTTAACGACACATAGAGGCTCCAGACATATGGCGAGTTATTTTATGTCGTAGAAAATGTTTTAAAAATCTATTAAGCTTGTGTTAACCACAGACCTTATTTCAAAAAAACTACGAGGGAACCGGAAATGGTAAATCCCAACTATTGTTTTAAGACTCCCTGCAACACTAATGTAGACCAAAGTAAATTCCTTGTACGTGTAAACATACTTGGCCATGAACCAGATTCTGATATTGTAAAGAAAAATAAAGGGATTGAGAGAGGAGAAAGGAAGTGTCATGGAAGAAAAAATGGAAAAAGAGGGTAAATCCAACCGCCCATTTATAAGAGTTGACCTACATGTGACTCCAATGACACGTCGATCAATAATCACTGGGAAGCGTGTGGCGCAGTGGGTTAGTGCGTTGCTGTTCGGATCAGGGGAGCAGAGGTTCAAACCCCACTGCAGTCAGCATGTCGTTGTGTCCCTGGGCAAGACACTTCACCCCAAATTGCTCCTGTGGGGATTGCCCACATGTAAGTCCCTTTGGATAAAAGTGTCTATCAAGTAACATGTAATGTAATAATGTAATCAATACAACACAATAATTCACCTTCATTCATTGTCAGATAAACTACTCAGAGCAGGAGGGACCCAGGTGATGTTATAACAAGCTAAACCCCCAAACATTTAATATTTACAGAGGGGAAAATAATGAATGTCAATTCATCGATCCGTCCATCAACCGGCAAATTTAAATGTATTTCATCATTATAGTCATTCATCAAGTTAAATGCTTTTCCCTCTGTTCTATGGTTGGAATGGATTTTTGAAAGAATTGTTGAATGGGGTTCGGGCTTAGATAATGTTACTTCATTAACTGCACTAGAAGAATACATTTTTGGTCATCAGAATAACCAGCGGTCAATAGTGAGGAGGGGTCAAAGGTCAGGGTGAACATAAGTGGGGTTTTAATCATCATTAAGAAGAAAAATGTGGTTTAAATGGTTAGATAAGAATATATTTTTGCGTATTTTACTATGCTGGTTCAGGCTGATTTATCTTGTTTAATTTTGGAAAGGTTGAATTGCATTTTGGGACAAATGTTCATGTTTCCTATTGGGTGACACCCTCTAATTTGGGGGATATTGTAATTTCTCCACTTGTATTTGATTTGGAGTTCAATAGCATCCTCATTATGCTATAGCATTGTTAATGTGATCATGTTAGCATGCTGACGTTAGCATTTAGCTTCCAGTTAACCAACTCTTAGTTAGTTTTTTTATTTTTTTGCGACCAGTTATAATTGTTCATCACCTAGTGTGTTTGATATCTGGTTAAATTAAATCTATTCTACCAGTCTGGCGTTTTGTCATTCATTCAGTTTACCTTAACATTAAATAATGACAACTCCAGTCTGACTTTTCCTTTCTTCCGTATTTTTCCGTCTTAGCTATTATCAAAATGCTACCTCGAAAAACGTATCAGCAACATTATTCTCGAAAAACAATGTGCTGGTTACTCAGGAAAATCCACATCTTTACATTAACATTTTTTGATGGGAATCATTTTTATCAGGAATAAATAAACACTATAATCTGATTACAAATCATCCAAATCAGCAATCACAAACAAGCTGAACCAAACTGTGAGCTTCAAATAAAACTACCGGTTTTTAATTGGTATTACAAATATTAATTAATATTTCTAATTCTGAGTCTCTGGGAGATTTCATTATAAAACCAGTAGCTGCTGCCGTGTATTAAGTCAAGACACTTTGCTTCTCGACCACATTCACTTCCCCCATGATCTAATTTCCTGCATTAGAGCCCTTTTCATATTCATATAACCACACATCATATTATAGATCTTATAAACATCTTGTTGTTTACATTGCTGTGTTTGTGTATTTTCTTTACATTTGTTGTAGCTTAGCTCGTTAGCGTCGAGGTAAGACACTCTACAAGCCTCTCATTGTTTTTGCTCCTCGGTGACTTTATGTGTTTGTCTTTTGAATCCACTTCTTCTTCCCATCACTGTTTGTGTTTTCAGTTGTGCATGGATAAACTGATGTAAAGTGAATAATTTCATTATGCATAGAATAATCCAATCAATAATATGAGGAACCGGAAAGATGGGATGGAGAGGAGGAATAATCTGCAAACTGGGGGTTGAATGAAATTAGTTCTGTGATGAGCTCGGATGTAAATAAATGATGATAATAATCTCAGCTTCCAACTCGATTTTCCAGCTGGGGACTGGATCCTCTGTGTGTGTGTGTGTGTGTGTGTGTGTGTGTGTGTGTGTGTGTGTGTGTGTGTGTGTGTGTGTGTGTGTGTGTGTGTCTCAAACACACACACACACACACACATCGTTCTTTAGCATAATTAAATCATGCATAATCACAAAAACCCACGCACACAACTGCGGTGCCCACTCATACTTTCCCAGACCTGACACACACACAATGCACACAAGCATACAGAGATACACACACAATGCACACTCACACACAGAACTCTCTCACAATTAAAAGAGTTGTGTCCATTCAGGCTGCAGTGCATTGTGGGCCGGTGTGCAGCTTGGCAGGAGGGGACGCAGATTCAGCCAAAAGGACTGATTGTGTTTTCTTCTCCTCTGGCCAGTCCATCCAGCACTGACCCCATTCACCACACAAACACACACAAACCCCAGAAACACACACACAGTACCTGGTACTGCAGATTTACAAAGGACAGGATTATATAGATGACAATGTATGCAAAACGTAACACACAGTGCCATGCCATGCTTAGTTTCTGCTACTTAAAATGTATATACTATAAACTCTCTATAGACCCTTTCATTAACCTCTACTGACCTAATCACCTTTAAAAGCACAGAACACACCGTGTTGCGTCATTGATCATTACAGGTGTCCATCATTGGTGTGAGCGCTTATATAGAATAAAGCAGGGTGCGACTTTCTATTAGTCGTTGAAGTATGTTCAATACAAAGCCAAACCTGCTAGGACTGTCTTTTTCTAGTCTATTTTAAATATTTCATGCATCATGTTTTATCAGGTCACCAACAATAACAATTGTCAAACAAAATCCTCAATTTGCAAAAAGTGATTAATTTGGTATTCCACAGACCAAAACCAAATCTGTTCTCAACAAACATATCTGGCACCCTGCACAACAGATGCTGCACGGAAGCTTTTCCTCAAGAAATAAGATGAGTAAGAACTTTATTCATCCAGTTCAGTATAAAGAGAGAAAGAGGTCAAACACATTGTGTGAAAATGATGTTGTTTTTATATATTATCAATAAAAATGTGCAAAAACCAAGTTTACAGAAAGCCAGATATATAAATCGGTTCCCGCCAAAGACCTTAAACATGTGAGAGTCGAAAATGCTGTGTCTTTACGCTTAGCTAACCGCCTCCAGGCATGACTCTCTAAATGGTCGTACTCACAGCCCTGGTCAAGAGATGAACTCCCCTGTTTTTGATTTCGCTTCTTTCTCGGTCTCTGAAGTCTTACAGGGTTTGCACTCAATTGATCCTAAAAAGTCTGCCGGACCTGACGGCCTCGACCCGTTCTTTTTAAAAATTGCAGCTCAGATTATAGCACAACCAGTAACTGATATTTTTAATCTCTCCCTGTCCACTCACACACTGCCAGCTGTGTGGAAGCAAGCTCTGGTATCGCCCCTCTTGAAAGCTGGTGATCCCACGGAGTTGAATAACTATCGTCCTATCTCAAATCTTTCTGTGTTATCAAAGATTCTTGAGTCCCTAGTTTCTACTGAGCTAAAACTTTTTTTAAATTCACACAACATCCTTAACCCTATGCAATTTGGATTCAGATCAAAGCACAGTACTGTGACTGCCAGTCTGAACGTCTTAGACGATATTAAGGCTGCTTTGGATAAAAAATCTGTTTGTGTTGCATTGTTTATTGACTTAGCCAAAGCATTTGACACGTAGATCACCACATTATGTCTAATGTTATCTTGGTGTCTCGTTTCGGTCATAACGCCAAACGCTTTGCTGGTTTCAGAGTTATCTAACCGGCCGTACTCAATGCGTCAGGTTGGGTAGTATTGTCTCTGACCCTGTCACCTTGGAGAAGGGAGTTCCACAGGGCTCTATTTTGGGGCCCATGCTCTTTTTATTATATGTAAATAATATTTGTAATCAGATGCAATTTTCTACCTATCATATGTATGCTGATGACACTATTGTATATTCATGTGCTCCTTCTCTGGATATGGCCGTTTCCAATTTAAAATCTGATTTTATCACGCTGCAGCATGCGCTTCTTGATTCTAAACTGCTATTGAACAGTAAGAAAACCAAAGCAATGCTTTTTGCTCCCAAGTCAGTGTCCTCTTGCCTCTCCATTGACACCCTTGATGGCTTCTCTGTTGAGTTTGTCGATACCTACAAATATCTGGGCTTTTGGTTGGACAGTAATCTGAACTTTAAACATCACATTGAAGTTCTAATAAAGAAATTGAAATTCACTCTTGGCTTCCTTTTCAGACTTAAATGTTGTTGTCGGTCTGGCTATTCCTGTCCCAGCTGGACTGACGTTCGAGTACCCATCTATGGATTTCCTGTCCCACCTTTGCACAAACCATTGTACCCACATCTATAGGACTTTCATCATTGCAAACTGGTATAGCCTAAACTGGATGGTCCTCACTTAGTGAGTGCGTAGTGTTAGAGCCAAGTATTTTGATTGATTAAGAAAGGCCACCTAATTGTGACGTCTGTTATCAACGCCTATAAAACGACTACAATTCCCACGGCGCCTGTGCTAACGCCACAGGTGATGGGCAACCTGTTGAGAGACGGCCGTCGAGGAACAGTTTTTTAACGTAAACACTCGTACCCCTCGTTCATGTTACACGTACATACAACGTTACAAGTACCCTTTAAGTTGTAAAGTAGCATTATCCGAAAGAAATGAATACCTAGAGTTGTTTGTTTTATTTGAGTTTTCCTATTTATTTTGAATATGGTAAAGGCCTATTTTCTTTGTTGCATGTGCAAAAAGTTTGTTATTTTATTTTGAGCAAACACATGGCAACATCTTCTAAAACTATCGGAGGCCAAGCAACACTTCAAAACTGTGAGTAAATTAAGGAAAGAAACGAGTTAGAACTGTCTGTTTAAGGCATCTAGTGGCTTGATGGAAAAACAAGGAAAGAAGCCCACGACACGTTTAGGATGCAGCATTGGGTTGTTTATTGATGTATGGAAGCCATTTTAGGTAAGCTTCCACTCGTACATATGTGCCAAATTTGCTCCAGTTACTAGGGTGGATGTGGCTGTGAGGTGAGTGTGGTCGCATCTTTCAACCAAGAAGGTTGTGGGTTCGATCCCAGCCATGCAGTCAACATTGAATCGGAATGTATCCATTGGGCAAGATACATTAAACCCTGAGTTGCTCCCGATGGCAATGGCCAACGATGTGTGAATGTTAGGTCCTAGAGTAGGTACATGCTCTGTAATGAATGGTGTGAATGGGTGAATGACATGTAGTATGTAAAAGCGCTTTGAAGGGGTCTATAAAGACTGAGATAAGCGCTATATAAGTACAGTCCTTTTACCACTTTACACATTACCAGTTGATGTGACATCTTTACAACCATCAAGCTGATTGCCTGGATACGGTTCCAGGTTCCTGCAGTGCGGCACTAGAGGGCTGGGAAAAAGAAGGTCTTTTTCATTTATGGTCCTTGTCCTGGAATGAACCTTATCAAATCACGCCTCAAANATACTAATATGACAGTAAAAAAAAGTTGTTATTAATAAACAAGAATACAGTTTAAAAGGGAATTGATTTGTAAAATATCCATAAAGAAACAAATCTGCTTACAGTTCTGTTTCATATGGGTGTTGAGAGATGTATCCATAGATCTCTTCATGTTGCTCTCAAAGTGCACCAGATTGATGCTTTTAACTTCAACATTTAAAAAAAATCTTCATCGTGGTGCATGCCCCCAAGCCCCCCTAGATGAGGTTATATCCGCCCCCCACTTAAATCATGTCCACATGGATATGAAACTAAATACATTTGCACACATCTTGTGTCCATATCTTTCTGTTTTGGTCGTCATGCCACGGTGCATGAATGCGCGGGTCATGGTCAAATATCTGGATTAAGAGGTTGCTTTTTCTTTGCACAGCATGAAAGAAACGCGAAATGAATGGGCTATGATTTGAGTTTTTTAAGCAGACGTTGAGTTCAATAATTTGTACGGCCCTCGAAGGATGTTGTAAAAATTGAAATGGCCCTTGAGAGGAAAAAGGTTCCCCACCCCTGATCTATGCGGAGACATTTCCAGCCTGATATCACCAAATGGAATTGCTAGCATAAATACCAACTGCCTCACAGGCAGCTGTAGCGTGAACACCCACATAAGAGTAAATATGTGCTCAAATGTACACGTATTTACCCCGAGGCTTTGCATCTGTTTACTGAACAAATCAGAAGAGGAAGTGAAAGTGGCACTGTGTTCTTTTTCGTATTCTACCTTTTGTCAGCTTGGAATCCTGGGTGTCCGACTTATCCTCGTCCTCATCTGCTGCCTCTACTCTGGATGAAGAAAGAGAGGAGAAATACAGAAAGATAAGATACACCGTAAATCGTATCCATTTATAGTAAACACTTTCCACAAGTAACATTTCTTCATATCAGCAAAACTTGATGGTATGTTTCAAGTTGTTCATGATGCAGTAGGAGTTTGACAAGAGACAGATGGTGCTGAAAATGTGATTCCATGGCTGTCCTTCATTTTAACATGATGTATATTCATTAAGCGTTGGATGTACAGCAGTAAAATGTGCTAACAAGTTGGAATGGGGAAAGTAAAACAAAAAAGAACATCCAGGTTGTCCATCTGCCTGTCGTTCTGTTGGTGAAAAAAAAGAGCGACCACAAACCCATGGAATAAAAGATGCTTTATTTTAGAACATCACTGGCAGATGGATTTGAAAAGTTTCCAATCAAACTTAAGCTGTGGCATTCAAGCATTCTAATCATCACTCTGGCACATTTTAAAGCCCTTGCAGTTTACACCTCCAAAGTTGTCTCGCTGCCGCTACAGTAAGTGTTTCTGAGGAGAACACAGACGTCTGGCTGTGATTAATGGAGGTTTTTCAGTGCTTTTAGCATCTCTATAGTGGAAGATGTGCAGAATAGAAAAGGTTAGTAGACCATTAAAAGCATCAGAAGACACTTTAGAGTCGATCCAATCTTTTAATGTTACAAATGAGAACTGTCTGGGAAGTAAGAAAAAAAGCAGAAAGGGAAATGATCAACTTTTGTTGTACAGCTTTTGTACAGGGCCCACATTTTAGCCCACTCTTTGAAGGGGCATCTTAGGTTAGCTGTGCAGCACCTGACTGCATCAATGTGCACTCCTCTCACACCTGACTGGAAAAAACACCCTTTACTTGAATGTAATTTCTGTTTAAAGCCAATGTGAGGGAAAGAAATATATATAATTCAACACATTGCCACATTTAGGCAAGACATGTGCTGCATACAGACAGGATCTTGTTTAAAAACGATGGGAATAACTAAAATAATGAGCAGTACAAGACTGTAATTTAACAAAATATTAATCTTCTAAAGCAGGAGTCTCCAACCTTTCTCCATCTGAGATCTACTTTGAAAAACTGAAAGTGGCCAAGTGCAACTTGCATCGCATCGCTTACATTTATTCACATAGCACTCATCAGTTGAATTAAGCTACTTTTGTACACGTGTGAAATCAATACCCAAAGCTTATAAAAAATCTTAACTTCACATCAAGGTCCAAGAAAACGAAAATGTCTCACATATTATTATGGCCCACATCGTAATCACTGAAGATTCACATACATGTCCAAGAAAAATATATATATATTTTCACTTCTTATTATGGCCCACATAGTAATACATCACCTTAATCACCACCGTACAAACATCTTATGGCACATGTATAAAATAAGTGCATTCACTTTTTCACAGTTAGTGAGATGAATGGCACTGCATGGAGTCCACCATACAGGTGTATGCTGGACCCACTTAGGTTCACTCTAATAGAGTCATTTAAATGTTCATCAGTCAGTCTTGTTCTGTATTTAGATTTCATTCATGTCAGAAAAAGCTGCTTCACAAAGGTCTGTAGAGCCAAATAAAGCAGACATGTTCAGTGCTGCTTGGTGAATGTTCTCAGTTTTCTGGGTCTACAAGGCTCCAGAAATGTTGTGAGTTTTGCCGAGACTTAAGCTGAGCATGATTTTGGAGATTTATAACCTCCATCTCCATCTCCACAGGATTGACACTGAACAGTTCAGCCATCTTTTTCTTCTTCTTCGTCTTGACATTAAATTATAAACCATAATAAATCAATTGTATAGGTCTAGCCTCCCTATATCTGTTGTTCCATCCTTAAAAACAAAAAACTAATGCTTCTGCAGTCTAGCTTCAGCTTCTAGCAACGGTCTTCTGTTAAAGAAAGGACACTGAATGTGGCATCACAAACAAGACTTAAGTCTGAACACAGCAGACAACAGGAGTATTAATAACAGCATTATAAAAACTAAAATAGTGCATGTGGGTGCACACTTATTCTCTGTCTTAGTGTTGCATAAATCCCATGAATGTATGAGATTAAGTTAGCTTCATCATCTCAATCAGTGATTAAGTGAATAAAAAAGTTTCTATCGGGTCACTATCAGCCTGTCACTCATTATTTTTCAGGAGGGGGCGGGGTTTGGAGGAACGGAGGAGACGGTGATCGCGGAAGCTTTCCTCCTAACTTCACAAACTTTACACAAGTATTTAACAACTGAAAATAGCAAGAGGACATTCATACTTTGCAATCCAAGACTTGATTAAATCCACCAAAAACCTGACATGACTACGTGTCTCTGAGCCGCAGCGACACGGACTGATTCAGAGCGTGTCATTCTGCTGTTGGTTCTGGACTGGTGTTGGTGGAGAAAGCAGACTGCTCCGTGTGTGGTGTCGCTGTGCCGCTGTCACGTCTTTTCCTTGATCTCTGCTTCACCGACCAATTTTATATTCGTGTGACAGAAACAATTCTAAAATAAAAAAAACGTTATTGTCCAGCCGCGGCCGAAAAATCAAGAAGCAACCTTACTACGCTATAATTGAGATCGAGCGGCGAGCTACTGAAAAGCTGCGATCAACGTGTTGGAGACCCCTGCTGTAAAGTATGTGTATTCACCAGCATTCACTCTCCGTCCTAAACGGCTTGTTGGAGCTCCTGCCCCCGCCTCCCTGTGAGCCCAGTGTGCTCCGATTGGTCAGCTCGGCCACTCTGTTCTGATTAGTCAACCACCAGAGAGGCTCCGCCCATGTCTAACATAGTGCTTTTTTCGGCTCCGAGCGGAACATCAGTTTTACAATGGCGTCGGTAGAGCCGTATATGTTTGAACCGGAGTCCGATCCTGAAAGCGAGACAGACCAAGGTGATAGACCTGATCCACCGTCCCAAACTAGACTAGAGCAGACGGTTTCACA